GGGGACAGGAGACAGGGGACCGGGGACAGGAGACAGGGGACAGGAGACAGGGGACAGGAGACAGGGGACGGGGACAGGAGACGGGGACAGGAGACAGGGGGACAGGAGACAGGGAACCGGGGACAGGAGACAGGAGACAGGGGACAGGAGACAGGAGACCGGGGACGGGGACAGGAGACAGGGGGACAGGAGACAGGGAACCGGGGACAGGAGACAGGGGACAGGAGACATGGGACAAGAGACAGGGGACAGGAGACTGGGAACAGGAGACAGGGGACAGGAGACCGAGGACAGGAGACCGGGGACAGGAGACCGGGGACGGGAGACAGGGGACAGGAAACAGGGACAGGAGACAGGGGACAGGGGACGGGAGACCGGGGACGGGAGACAGGGGACGGGAGACCGGGGACGGGAGACAGGGGACAGGAGACAGGGGACAGGAGATAGGGGACCGGGGACAGGAGACAGGGGACGGGAGACAGGGGACAGGAGATAGGGGACCGGGGACAGGAGACAGGGGGACAGGAGATAGGGGACAGGAGATAGGGGACCGGGGACAGGAGACAGGGGACGGGAGACAGGGGACAGGAGATAGGGGACCGGGGACAGGAGACAGGGGACGGGAGACAGGGGACGGGAGACAGGAGACAGGAAACAGGGACAGGAGACAGGAAACAGGGACAGAGGACAGGAAACGGACAGGAGACAGGAAACAAGAACAGGAGACAGGAAACAGGGACAGGAGACAGGGGACAGGAAACAGGGACAGGAGACAGGAAACAGGGCCAGGAGACAGGGGACAGGAGACAGGAAACGAGGACAGGAGACAGGAAACAAGGACAGGAGACAGGAAACAAGGACAGGAGACAGGAAACAAGGACAGGAGACAGAAACAGGGACAGGAAACAGGGCCAGGAGACTGGGGACGGGGGACAGGGGGACAAGGGACAGGAAACAGGGACAGGAGACGGGGACAGGAAACAGAGACAGGAGACAGGAAACAAGGACAGGAGACAGGAAACAGGGACAGGAGACCGGGGACAGGAGACGGGGGACACGGAGACAGGAAACAGGGACAGAGGACAGGAGACAGGAAACAAGGACAGGAGACAGGAAACAGGGACAGGGGACAGGAAACAGGGACAGGAGACAGGAAACAGGGACAGGAGACAGAAACAGGGACAGAGGACAGGAGACAGGAAACAAGGACAGGAAACAGGGACAGGGGACAGGAAACAAGGACAGGAAACAGGAGACAGGAAACAGGGACAGGGGGCAGGAAACAGGGACAGGAGACAGGAAACAGGGACAGGAGACAGGAAACAGGGATAGGGGACAGGGACAGGGGACAGGAAACAAGGACAGGAGACAGGAAACAGGGGACAGGAGACAGGAAACAGGGCCAAGAGACAGGGGACAGGAAACAGAGACAGGGGACAGGAGACAGGAAACAAGGACAGGAGACAGGAAACAAGGACAGGAGACAGGAAACAGGGCCAAGAGACAGGGGACAGGAAACAGAGACAGGGGACAGGAGACAGGAAACAAGGACAGGAGACAGGAAACAGGGCCAGGAGACGGGACAGGGCCAGGAAACAGGAAACAAGGACAGGAGACAGGAAACAGGGCCAGGAGACAGGAAACAAGGACAGGAAACAGGGGACAGGAGACAGGAAACAAGGACAGGAGACAGGAAACAGGGGACAGGAGACAGGAAACAAGGACAGGAGACAGGAAACAAGGACAGGAGACAGGAAACAAGGACAGGAGACAGGAAACAGGGGACAGGAGACAGGAAACAAGGACAGGAGACAGAAACAGGGCCAGGAGACAGGGGACAGGAAACAGGGACAGAGGACAGGAGACAGGAAACAGGGCCAGGAGACAGGAAACAGGGACAGGAAATAGGAAACAGGAGACAAGAAACAGGAGACAGGGACAGGAAATAGGAAACAGGGACAAGAGACAAGAAACAGGGACAGGAAACAGGAGACAAGAAACAGGGACAGGGGACAGGAGAGAAGGGACAGGGGACCACAGGCACGCGCCACCACGCCCGGTCGTTCTCTCCCCATATATTCTTGGTGGCCCGGCTCATTTCTTTCTATCTTTGTTAGTAGCGACCGGGCCTCGCTCTTCCCCAGGCCGGCCTCTCCCTCCCAACCTCCAGCAATCCTCCCCCCTCGGCCTCCCCGACTGCCGCCCTCCCAGGCGCCAGCCTCTACCCCGGCCTCCCGACACTCTGAGCTTCAGCAGGTCCCCTCCTCCGACCCCGGGCCACCTTTGACCTCCCTGACCCCCAGAGCACCCCCGCCCTGGGCTCCCCTTCTTGAGTCTTGGGGTCACAGAGGCTCAGACGGGGACCCTGGGGTCCCATTGAGGGGACATCTGAGTGTGGCTTCCAGAACGTTCCAGCAGCCCCAGGGGCGGGATGTGGGGTAGGTAAGGCTGGGTGTGTGCAGGGGGGGACCCCCCAATATTCCGGGGTCCCCCAGGGCCACCCCTCTGTGTGACTCACCCAGCGGGTCGGCCTTCCCGTCCTTGTCCGGGATGGTGAAGACACCCACGACTTGGTGGCCGTCCCTCCTCAGCTGGAAGTACACCTCCTGGCCGAACAGGCTCTGCCCGATGACCGCGATCTTCATGGCAGCGGCAGGTGTCCCCACAGTGTCCCCACAACTGGGTGACAAACAGGGAGGCCGTCAGAGGAGGCTCCCTGGCCTCAGTTTCCGCCAGAGGCAGCTCCTGGCCTCTACTCCCGGCCTCTACTGCCTGGGGCAGCCTCTGCCGGGGCCCCTGTGGCCAGACTGTCGCGCGGGGGGGACAGGGACACGGGGAAACACGTGTGTCACCGAGAAGGCACGGTAAAGGCGGAATCTCAGAGCGAGGAGGCTCGCGCCTGGCGTCCCAGCTACCAGGGAGGGAGGCCGAGGAGGGAGGATCGCTCGAGGTCGGGAGTGGGAGGCCAGCCTGGGCAAAAGCGAGACCCCGTCTCTACTAAAAAACATAGAAATTAATTGGCCGAGTAAAAATATAGAGAGAAAGAATGAGCCGGGCGTGGAGGCACACGCCTGGAGTCCCAGCTACTCGGGAGGGAGGCCGAGGCAGGAGGATCGCTCAAGGTCGGGGGTTTGAGGCCAGCTTGAGTCCAAGAGGGAGACCCTGTTTCTACTAAAAAAATAGAAAGAAATTAACTGGCCAACTAAAAAATATATATAGAAAACAACGAGCCGGGCGTGGTGGCGCATGCCTGGAGTCCCAGCTACTCGGGAGGGAGGCTGAGGCAGGAGGATCACTCAAGGCCAGGAGTTGGAGGCTGCTGTGAGCGAGGCTGACGCCACGGCACTCACTCTAGCCTGGGCGACAGAGCGAGACTCTGTCTCAAAAAAATAAAAAGTAATAAAACATAATAAAAATAAAATAAAATAAA